GAAAACGCGTGATGCCGCGGTCAGAAAAACTTGTGCCTGGTGAGGCAAAAATTTTTTGATGCCAAATGCTAAAACGGATGCCAGGACGAGATTCGGGGTAGAATTCCATACTTAAAAATTGTACTGCTGAAGTCGTATTTCCTGCAATGAAGTTTGGTGCGATTAACCTTGCGTTTGTATCTATTGTTTGCTCTTGTGTTGTTATGGTTGAAGCTGAAGTATTCATTGACAAGTAGGACATTTGCAATGTATGATTTTATATATCCAATACACCCTATATAGCAGATAACCTTGGGTACTTGAAGACTTGTGGACTTCAACTGCCAGAATTCCTCAGCCAGCAAGTCTTAAAGTGGCCAAGGTTGGAAACCCCGTCTTTATTTATTTGTTTATTTGTTTGTTTATTTATTCATTGAATATTGCCACCTATTCACCCATGGCGACTGGCTTACAGAATGTAAAACCGTATTTAAAACAAAAGAAAAAAAAACAATAAAAACGAACCCAAAAAATCAAATAAATCAATAAAGTACAATAGAACAAAATCTGGGGGGGGAAAAATCACCCCCCAACTCCCACCCCACCCCGCAAATGGGCTCCATCCTGCTCTGGGTTCCCCAGGCCCGCTGGCAGAACCAGGTCTTCAGCACCTTCCGGAAGAGTGCTAGAGAGGGGGCCATTCTAATCTCTGGGGGAATGAGAGAGGGAGCCACTAAGCAAGAAGGCCCTTCTTCTGGGTCCCACCAGGGATATCTCCTCAGGGAGTGACCCGCCTCTCCCTATACGACACTAAAGCTCGGGTTTCCTTCCTGGTCATTGTGTAGGTTTCCGACAGTACACAACCCCCTATCCCACATCCAGCCAACCTCCCACTGCACATTGGCTATAGCAATTGACATGAACATGCTACACGGGTGGGTCTCTGGTATCAAAGGGGTGGAAATGCAGGCTGAAGGCTTAAGATGTTCACACTTAACTAACGAAGACAGCAGTGAAGCACCCCCGGACAAGAAAGGGGATTTGAGTTCCTCAAGATGAGACCTGGCTTTTTTATACATATATAAAATCTAATCTAAGTATTAGCAAGCATTGTCATATTATATTATATAACGATGCTTGTAATACTTAGATTAGATTGGCCTGTATCAGAGGTGGTATTCAGCAGGTTCTGACCCGTTCTGGAGACCCGGTAGGGGAAATTTTGAGTAGTTTGGAGAACCGGCAAATACCACCTGACTGGAGATTTTACAGTTATCCTTCCCCTGCCACACCCACCAAGCCACACCCACAGAACTGGTAGTAAAAAAAATTTGAATCCCACCACTGGGGGCCTGTATCTTTGGTTAATTTAAACATTCGTGCAAATCTAAAACTGGGTTAATGTGTATATCTTGTTCTTGGCTCAGGTTGGGATTGCGTGAATACAACCTGTGGTTTTGTGCAGCATGGTAGATAATCGTGAATTAATTCAGTATAATTTCATGTACAGATTATGTTCCAGCTTCATTACAACTAGCTGATAGCCCTAGAATCAGATTCACTTTTATTCAGTTCACAGCACATCTGCTACGTCTTTATAGCAATTTATTTTTTCTTTTTACAAAAATTGAGTACGAGTCCATGTACTTTAATTGCATGAACACATACATGCAGTATGTATTATATTCTTGGAAACAATATAGAAGCTTTCTCTGGGAATGTTTTTTGACTTCCTAGCCCAACCTGCAATATCAGGACTCTGTGATGTCATGCTGGCCACATGATCATGGAACTGTCTTTGAAGAGTGTTGACTCAATGGCCTTGAAATAGAGATGAGCACCGTCCCCTGCAATCGGCAACTATGGTATTAGCGGAATAAAACCTGCAGGGACTCCTTTCCTCCTTTAGTCCAACCTGCAGTTTCTACAAATACAACCAGTGCCAATCCTATTTAACTTTCAATTCCAGACTACGGTACATCAGTCAGATGCCATGACCTGCTGAGCTGTATAAGAAAACAGATCCCCCCCCCCCCCAAACACACACACTTATGGCTTCTTGCCCCAATTATTTGTCATTGATGAAATATTTAAAACTTCACTAACATCCCAAGGGTATTAATCTTTTTTTAAAAAAGAATTTTATTAATTTTCAATAAACAAACATGCACATACAAAACACAAAACATAAAAGTTCTTTTTGGAAGGCGGCTTAGTCCCGGGTTACATCTTTTTGTGCAGACATAAATTCAAATTCATGCTCACTTTATATACCATTTCGTATCTTATTTACCATTCTACATTTTCTATATAGCTTCTCCCCTCTTTTCACTCTCTTAATTCTATTTTATTTATTTCATCTCAATTTAAATCATTATGCTTATATCTTTTGTCTGTTCTGTTTCAATTATCTATTATCTTTTCTCATTGACACAAAATTTCTCCTGTAATCACTGATTGAAGTATGACGCCTTTATATCTTTCCCCTAAATATTATTTAGGGTATTAATAATCTTAAGGATCAAACTTTAAAGTTATTTCTTACACATGGAAGATAATAAGTTTGTAATTAAGTTTATTTAACATTGCTAAAATCATACATGAGAAATAGGCTTTAATCATTAAGTTGACAAATGATTCAGATTTAATTTATAAACATACATTGCTTACAGAAATGAACTCCAATTTGTGATCCCTATATCTTCTTTTCCTTGACTTGAGCTGAAGATACTAACCTCCTTTTCCATATTAAAAGTGGAGCTGTACAGTGGCTGCTCCATGTGTCTGCCTACTTAGAGCAGGGCCACACTGTATATCACAACTCCTTGTTTGTCCTAACAGTTTGTAAAGACTAAAAGGACACAACAAGCCAAATAACAGAATAACAAAGTAGCAGAGTTGGAAGGGACCTTGGAGGTCTTCTAGTCCAAACCCCTACTCAAGCAGAAGACCCTATATCCGTGATGGCGAACCTATGGCACGCGTGCCAGAAGTGGCACGCAGAGCCATCTCTGCCAGCCCGCAAGCCATCACCCCAGCTTAGTTTCACTGTGCATCCGCGCGCAGCTGATTTTTGGGTTTTTATTTTTCATTTTGTTAGATAGTTCAAATCTGTCAAGATCAATCTGGATCTTAAGCGTATTTTCTATAGTGTTGTGTCATCTGCAAATTTGATGAGTTTCCCTTCTATTCACACATTCATACAGTATTCATGCAATATTCATACATTTATACAGTACGTATAAAATATTTATATATTTTTACTATATAAAATTTTTAAAAGTCTTTATAGCAAAGCCAACAGCATTTCTGAAGTTAACAGGCTGGAAGATAGTTTTCAATATAAATATATATATATAAAAATCAGTTCAGAAATATTTTGTGCCCTTTTATTCATAAAGCATATGTTGTTCTGATCTTTTGTTTTGTTTTCATGTGGAAGAAAAGAGATTATTGAAATCAAGATTACTTTTCATCTTTGAAGTTCTTTGCTACACAAAACAAAAAGACAAAATAGTCAGATTTTGTAACAAAAACACATCTTTTTCCTCTTGAGAATCTCTAACCTCAAGTAATTCAAAGCTGGGCAGTAAGATATTTAAATGTAATAAAGATTTACATTTTGTTTTCATTCATCTTCATTTCATTCATCATTCATTTCATTCATCATTTGTTTTCATTCATTCATGTATTCACAACTATGTATACACTTATACTTATTATCTTGTAAACAATTGGCAAATCAAATAAATAAATAAATAAATAAAATCTCTGATTGGTTACCTGCACACTGAAGCAATTTCCATTCCTGTTGAAATTGCACTCTTAATTCTTTTATCAGTTCCACATTCTCCTGTAAATCTGGTGCAAAGTTCTCAAAGTTGGGTATAAAATCACCTGTTAAGATGTTGGCTATATCTTGCATTATTTTTTCTTCAGTATCCTTTAAAAATAAAGTAAAACACTTGCATAAATGTGTACAGATCTCCAAAAAAGAAAGAAAAAGAAACATTTTATTGCTTGCAGAGTTATTTCTGAGAATTTGTACTCTATTGAATGACTGTGTTTGAATCACCTTATTAAGCCATAATACGGCTTGCTTGGTTTTGGTTTAATGAATTGTATAACTAGACCTCTATGGTTGGTAAACCTTGGTTTATAGCTTGGCGTGTTCTGCAAACCCAAAATTGGATTTATTTGGTAAGACACAATTAAACACGCCATGTGACCAATCAGTCTGAATCCAAGGAGGAAGACGAACAGCTAACAGGAAGTGGGAGTGTGGCTCCAGTTGGCTGTGGAGGAAGCTGGGGAAGGGCAAAGTCCAGCTGAGCAGAGCAGGGGAGAGATAGAACAAGGGAAGACCTAGGGCCACCCCTTCTTCATCCTAGGGCACACAGGGAGGAACAGAGAAGAGAGCAACGTGGGTTGCGTGGCTTATGGGGGAGGAAAGGGCCCTGATTTCCTTCATTAGCCACACCTAGGAATGAAAGTTTAAAAGAACTGAATGTTGACTGCAGCAGTTGCTGGGAGCAAACATGACTTTATCCTGTGTTGTCTTTGCCTATGACGTTATCTCTCCAATTGATTTATTAGGAACAGATCTGGCATGTCAAAAGCGATTTCCCAAGTGAAAGTTTTTTCGTGCGTTACACAGAATCCACCATCTCTCCTCCCTTCTCTCCTCCCACTTCTACACTTCATAAATCAATTAACTGCAACTGGAAATTCTTAATACGACATACAGAATAACCTTGAACTTTTCAACTCCTCTAACTCTCTTAAAAAATGTGGCAGCTGAATTTCAAAGCTGACAATCTGTGTTCCTGGCATCTTCCCAAACGTGTGAGTTTTGCTGTGCCTTCATGTCTGGAATTCTTGCTCCTGCCCTGCCAAACTAATTATCTCATTTTGCATTGATTGGATTTATAGTTACAGTTTATGTTGACCATGTTTTGGATTTAATTCTCTGCAGTCAAAGGCTGTTCCTGGGAGAGTTTTTCTCCAGCCAGAAGGTAACCTGGACATTGGGGGCAAAGTTGGAGTTAATAAAGGGACTCTTATCGATTATCTGATTGTGTTGCCTTTGTGCCACGCCCCGGGTCATCACACCATGCTTAGTGTAATGTGGGAATATATCCAATAAGGAGTCAGTTATCTTTAATACAATAAATCAGGCTTCCTCAACTGTGAGGTGGAACTCCCGAGAAATCTCTCAGCAATTTGTGAGGTGGGAATCCTTACATAAGTGTCTGTCTGTATTGTCCCAAAGGCAACTGGACTTTGGTTTTTTTTCCCTTGAAAATGTTTGTTTTGTTATCCAAGAAGCTGCTTCTCTTCTTCTGAAGAAGCTTCCTAGATGAGAAGTGAGCAGTTTGTATGCATACCTGGAATCAGGTTAGAGCAGCGATGTCAAACTCAAGGCCCAGGGGCCAAATCCGGCCCTTAGAGTGCTTAGATCTGGCCCATGGGGCCAACAAAAAAGAGCTCAGGAGGGCTGCACATGGCCCTCCAAGGCCCCATTTTTGGCCGCGACAGTCTCCTGCAGCCCTTTGTCAGCGAAAACAAAAGT